TTCAATATACCTTTGTTCCATGCGTAGGGGTTAAACTTGATACTGTTTCCTTTGTTATCCACGAGAAATGGACCAATCTCTTGTGTAGCTCCGTATCCCACAGAAGAACATCCAGGACCTATAGTTATAAACATCGCAAAATCAAAATGTGTCTTCATATGTAAAATATATATAGTTCATCAGAAAAAATATATATGTGAAATTAGCATAAATGTTTTTCTTGGTAAGTCAAAGTGTGAGCTTGATTACCTCCATTAAGCCAAAGTACTAAAGGTTTCACGTTCGGTTGAGTCATAGCCTCAAAGAACCAATAAAACAAAGCCCTTCCGTTGGTTTTATCTACTGTGACGTAACCGGCGTAGTGTCTGAAGCTCACTTTAGGTTGACCAGGAAAGTTTGTCACCAGATCTCGCATTGCTTCAGGAGTATCAGACGAAACAAAAGCGAAAAGAGTGCAAAGACACAAAGCAATGGAAACATTGAAAAAGTTCATAGTTTGAATATTTATTTGGTTAAAGATTTTGATAAGAAGATAGTAAGAAGTAATGAGATGATATGGAAGGCTTTCATGTTTATCTATTTATAATGAAAGATCCTGACTCGATTTTTGTATCAAGGGGAATTTTTTATTTCTTTAAATATGAAAATAAAAAAAAAACAGTAGGTGGATATGAAAGAATAGTATCCTTTTATACTAACTAGGACTCGAACCCTCTGCGAAATAGCAGGGGTAAAGAACCTCTGACTATATTTTCAAAAAAGTTTTGATGCCAACACAACTAAAAATACAATTTACTTTCAACCAATAATCATCACTAAAGAATTTGAAAGCATGGCTATTATTGATTTTCAAGTTGAGGTAAACCAAAATAGACTTATGAAGACTATGTAATGAAAAAAAAAGCAATTTAGATTTCATTTCAGGGTTTAGACACAGTAGTTTATCCTTCCGTAAAATTAAACAGTTCTTTTTTAAAAGTATGGTTATTATGATCTTTAACCAAATTAGAATTAGGAAGACTATGTAATGAAAAAAAAAAAATTTAGATTTCATTTCAGGGTTTAAACAGTAATTTAACGTTCTGTAAAATTAAACAGTTTTTTTTAAGTCGTAACCCTAGAAAATATTTTCACATAAAACGATAGACACAATCCTATGATACATTAACAACCACTAAACGTTTTTTAAGAAAACGCAACCTTATGATGTATTAATAACCATAAAACGATAGACACAACCCTAGAAAACATTTTCACATAAAACGATAGACACAATCCTATGATACATTAACAACCACTAAACGTATTTTAAGAAATCACAACCTTATGATGCATTAATAACCAGAAAACGAGTTTTTTTTAAAAGCTACAATTCAGGGATTCAGTAATAACCATAAAACGGATTTTTTAAAAACACAACCATATGAACAATTTATCACCTCAAAACAGATTTTCAACAATATGCACCCTTATCATGCATTAATAAGTTAATAACTATAAAATGGTTTTTTTAAGAAAAATCCTATGATACATTAATAACCATAAAGCGGTGTTTTTCGAAAAGACGCAACCCTTAAATGTTTTAGTAACCATAAATGCTTAAGGTGTAACCCTATAATGCAACAATAACCATAAAACATATTTTTCGAAATAACGCATGCAATCTTAGATGCTTTATTAACCATAAAAAAAAATTTTGTTTGTTGAAAAGATGCAATCTGTAAAGCATTAATAACAACAAAATGGAGTCGAAAAGACGCAACCCTTAAATGTTTTAATAACCATAAAAAATTGTTATAAGATGTTTGTTTGTATTAATAACCATAAAATGGTTTTTTCGAAAGAACGCAATCCTATTATGTTTTAATAACCATAAAAAATTGTTATAAGATGTTTGTTTGTATTAATAACCATAAAATGGTTTTTTCGAAAGAACGCAATCATAAAATATTTTAATAATCATAAAACAATTTTTTTTTAAAGACGCAACTCTAGAATATATTTTCTAGGATTGCTATGATTAATTCGAAAAGACGCAACTCTTAGATGTTTGAATAACAATAAAACGGTTTTTATAAGACCCAACTTTTTGTTGTATTAATAACAATAAAATGGTTTTTCGAAAATATGTAACCTTAAAATATTTTTTTACGAAAAGACGCAACTTTAAAAATAATCATAAAGTTGTTGTATCAAGAACATGCAATCTTCATAAATAACCATAAAACGGTTATATCAAAAAGACGCAATCATTGAAAATAACCAAAAAGCAGTTATATAAAAAACAAATTTGAAAAAGGATTATATTGAAAAGAACAATTTTTGAAAAGCGATTATATTGACAAGACGCAACCTTTGAAAATAACCATAAAGCGATTATTTTTGGAATAATATTCATTTTTTAGATTGCTATTATTACTATGTACGTGGTTTCAATATTTTGATATATACAATCCAAAAAACTGCTTTCAAATATAAGAATTTATATTTTTGTAGAGAACTATTAAATCTAAAAAACCTCAGTACACACACCATCCATTTCCAAGAAAAATATAGTTGGCAATTTAATTAGTTTTTAATATCAAAAGCCATAAAAACTCCATTATCTAAAGAATTCCAACTAAAAATATTTTCATTCTTACCATTATTGGTTAAATATGATGAGCATCCTACATAAAAATTGTAAGAAAACAAAAAAAAAGAAATAGAACAAATCATATCATCTTTACCACTGAAACCAACGTTAATCGTAATCATAGTATTCAACATTGGAACTTTCAACATTATTAGTATTCAATATTTGTATTTAAAATATTTTTAACTGTAGAAGATAATTCAGTTCTACAATATTTTACAAATTAATTGTCAGTTTCATCTATAGAACGTCTATCCATTTGTAATTGAAAATTAGAATTAGAACAAA